ACTCCCCCAGCCCACTCCTTTACAAGAAAATAACCCGTATGGGACATTTCAACTGGGCCACAGCAAAGGCCTTAAGAGTACAGAAACCTACCCCACCCAAGGCCTGTTCTCTCCTGGACCTTTCCACTGTGTGCATAGGTGTACTCTGCCTGTTTTATTAAATAGTAGACTTTGGTGTGTGTGTGTGTGGGGGGGAGCACTCATTCCCCCCGGGGTCTGGTACCAAGGATTGAACCAGCTGCTCTGCCACTGAGCTGCAGCCCCAGCTTCTCATTTGTTTCATTTATTCTGAAGCAGGGTCTTGCTAATTGCCTAGGCTGGTCTCTAAGTTTTGATCCTCCAGCTCCTGCCTCAGTTTCCTGAGTGCTGGGATCACCAGTGTGGGCCACCAAATCAGCACAAGCAGCCCATTTCTAAAGAGCTGTTCAGGCAGTGGGGGATGCTCCCAAGACACTAGGGAAATGTCCAGCCGCGCTCCCCCGTCTGCATCCAGGCTCTCACTTGAGGTTCCTGTCCCCATCTCCTACCCACTCATCTGGTGAAAGCTGGCTTCCCTCAGCCCTGTACCCATAGGGAGTCCTCTGCCCTGACTCCAGGAGGGTGCCGAGGCTCGCTGACCACTACACAGCCCTCGAGCCAGCAAATGCCCAGAGGTGACTGCGCAGCCTCAGTCACACCCCATGGGCCTGGGAAGAACAGCTCCCTTCCCCTCTTTGGATTTTGAGCTGGGAAAACATTGTCCTAGGACTATTGAGGAACAGGAGAGATGAGACTACCACAGGGAAGAGCAAGGCATCCCCAGAAGGGCAGTGCTTGGGAGCCAGTTCTCCCAGCTATGGGAGCCAGTCAGTCCCCTGGGCTTGCATCCCTTCCTGTTGAGCCCTGGACTAATGGGACAGTTGACCAAGGCCCTTTTCTTCCTGCCCAGGACCCCTGGGAACCCAGGAAAGGCAGGAGGGCCTGGAGGAGGGCTCCGCAGCAACCTGCAGACTTCAGGGAAGCTCTCCCACCCTACAAGGACTCTGGGATTGAGTCTAGTTCTCGACTCCTGTGGGTCTGCAGGCCTTGGCCCTGCTCAGGGACAACACAGACACCCCACTCTCCTCAGCATGTGATCTGAGCCTCAGGCAGCTCTGGGAGACGAGGATGGCATCTGCTGCGCTCGGGCTGTGCCCAGTGTCACGTATCACCTGGGAGCTCTGAAGTCTCAGAGACAGCAGCCAGGGTGGGGAGGGTTCGCGGTGGGAGGGTCGGGGTACTCAGGCGAGGCCCGCCCGCTCCAGGTCCTGGGGCAGCACGCGGCCCTTCCTGCGGGCCTTCTGCAGGCGCCGCTCAGCCTTGGCCGCCTTCTTCCTGCGCAGGTTCTGCCGCCGCCGGTCCTGCCGCTGCTGCATTTTCTCCACGACGTGGGCCGAGCGCTTCTCCCACTGGCGCTGCCGCTGAGCCCGGCGCTTCTCCTTGCGCTTCAGGGCCTCCTGCAGCAGCCGCTCGTTGTCCCGGATCTTGACCCCCTCGGCCTTGTACAGCAGGTTGGTCCACTTCATCTTGGCCTCCAGCTCCCGGGCCTTCCCTGCGTCCTGCTCCCGCAGCTCCTCCAGCTGGCCTTGCCGCGCCTGCAGGCGCTCCAGCAGCTGCCGGTAGTTCTTGCCTGTCAGAGGGGTCAGGTTCCCCTTCACCTTCTGCCGCTTCTCCTTCCGCCGCTGGGCCTTGGTGGCCGGCTCCTCCTCACTGACCTCCACCTAGGGACGAGCAGCAGGTCGGAGACAACGCAGAACCAGCACCCCACCTCAGGAGCACCCAGACCACGCGGCTGCTGCCACCCAAGAGGGAGTTGAGGCCACAGAGCCAACCAGGGGACAGGCCAGGGCCCGGAGCCTGCTCGGTTCACCTTATTGAAGATCAGCGCTGGCTCCTGCGGCCCTGCGCAGACCGCTGCAGGGGGATCCGCCACCGCTGCAGTGCCTCCGGTTTGTGCCGCTGCCTTCGCCTTCTCCTTCTCCTTCGCTAATAGCTCCCTCCGCTTCCTCTTCTTCCGATCGCGCTCCTGCTTTCTCCGCTGCCTTTTCTCCAGTCTGGCAGCAGAGAGCGTGCCATCCTGGGGAAGCAGGGTCTGCTCAGAGTCCTCCCAGCCTCAGGGCCCCGCCCTGACACAGGGCAGAGATGGAATTAGGGCTGGAAGGTGCAAGAGGAGCTCCTCAACAGGACTGCTGCCCAAGGCGCCAGTGGCTCCAGGGTGAGGGACAAGAGGGTGGCTTCCAGCTTCAGGCCAACCACAGTTTCACCAACTGCCAAGTGGGTCACTCCAATTCTGAGCGGGGCCTGGTTCTGCATGAGCAGGCTGGTCCTGTGCACTAGGGCTCTGCACTGCAGCCCCATCCCAACGACCTTTCAGTTCCACAGCCAACAAGAGTGCCCTGCACCAGACCTACCCAGCCCTGTGCTGCAGGAATGAGGGCCCAGGACCTTGATGGCCTCTTAGGAAACAGGGAAGGGCCAGTGGTCATGACCCAGGAGGCTGAAGCCGTCTGCAGAGCAGAGGTGGGCGGGAGGGGTCCCAGGGAAAGGTGGGTGCCCAGGTCAGAGAGTAAACAGCACTACTCAGCACAAAAATGGAGGCTGGCCAGTCACTTCATCTCATGGTAACCTTTAGAAGAACAGATGGGCCATGCTAGCTGTTGTGGCGCCAACAAAGGTGGCTTCCCAGAGGAGAAGTCTGGGCTTCTGAGACCCATGGGAGAGAGGAGCAAGCAAAAGGCCAGGGACCCTGGGACTGAGGTTCTCCAGGAAGCAGGGAAGGGCACCTGCTCCCCCAGGGCAGACCCTGCTTCCTGCTAAGAGCCCCCTCTCACCCCGAGCATGGAGCTGGGTAGGGAGGCTACTCCAAAGACATACTGATGAGTGCTCCAGAGGTGGCCCACCTACCTGGCCTCGAGCCTGCTGGATCTTCTCATGCAGCCGCTGGCGCAGGACATCCAGGGCAAAGACAGAATCAGATGCTGCAGCCTGGCCACCTGCAGGGAGGGAGACAGGGCTGAAAGGAGGCCCTTCTTGATGTCCTTCCCCAGGGCCCAATACCTAAGCCTCAGCCTGTACTCACTGCCCTCCTGTCCCCAGTGGCCACTTGCGGATCTACAGGCCAATCCATTAAATTCCACTCCATCCACCTCTTCAATGTGGATTGGCCCCTACAGCCTCCTGGATTGGATGGTTATATCTGGTCACTGTGGTACAAAAAAATTTCTTCCTACCAGTCTCACTGCTCCAGATGCTGAGAAACTCATAGCCATGTGTGGGAAGCCATTCTGACACGTGATTGGGTGGCTCCCGTTAAGGGTCTGAGGCGTTCTGGCTGTGTCGGTACTTTCCCGACCCTTTCCTGATGAGAGAACCCATCTGTGTGGGGGTGTGCCTGATCACTGACCCTGACCTTGGAGTGCAGCCCCCCCTCAACCTTCACTGGATGGAATTCTCCCCTGAATCTCTTGTTCCCCAATAAAAAGCTACTCCCAGGC